CTTCCTCTCAGGTTGTTGAAACGTCAGTCACCACTACCGACAACAGTCCTTCTCAGGACTACACTCACCCGGACGATCAAACTACACTATTTTGTAATATAATTTCAAACACATTAACAAAGGGATATAAAAAATGAACGAAAGATTCAAAGTGAAACACAACATTTGAATGATTTTAAACCATTATGTACATTTCAGTACACATGATGTTATCCTGTTCCCTTCGTGTTTTCGAGGGAACAACTTCGAAAGGGTATCTACACTGTCACCAAATGAGATAAAGGGTAGCCTTGAGGAGCCAGCAGTACTTGTCTTCCATTGCACAAGTTTTTGTTTTGACTACTCATAACCACAAAGTAAGCATTAAACAGAGAAGTATTTAGGATCATATCTTAACAATCAAAACATACAAAACTACCCATGGTGGTATCATCAACTCTCAGTGCAAAGAAACTACATGGGAACTCAGATAATATTATTAATGTCTCTTCTGCCAAAAAGTAAATAGTGCGGCCTGCACCTGTACATAATTGGCATCCACTTCAGGAACATTGCCAGGTACACCTTATAAGGTGGCTATCAGCTCATTCAATCAATTATGACAGTTAAAGGTACAAAGCTTACTGGTCGGACATGATCACCACCTCGTTGATATTTGCTTTAGAATGCCTTCTCAAAGTGCCTTCAACACCCCCACCCCCCTCCCCACAAATTGTTTCCCCCAATTTTTTCCCTCAAATAAATATTTGTATTTTTCTGCGCAAAAAAGAAATTTTGCATTGCAAATCAGTTTGTGATGTCATGAAACATAGAATAGATCCATGCCCCTCACAGCTTGGTTGTGTTTGAGATAAAAACAGACTTAATTTGCAGATTCTTTTTAAAAAAAACCGATATTTAAACAAAATGCTACACTTCTTGAACCATCATAACAGTGGAATCTCTAGATTTCTGCGGGTGGAAAAAGATTATTTGAGTTATAGGCACTTCAAGACCAAAGTGTAGAAGGCTCTTTTCAAAGCAATACCAAAATAACTTTAAAATATTAGAAAGCATGCCAAGACTCTTTCAAAATTGGTACAACTGTGAAACACCAGATTGTCCTTGTGAAGTCACAGTTGACTGAACATGATGTAGGAGAGACTGTTCATCATTGTTCAGAGCAGATGACATCAATGGTGTGTACCCCAAGGATGGGGTACTTAGGCGACTGCTACTAGCTCTGGGATTGGACACAGACTGTTGCGCCAAATTATGGCTTTGATGATGAAAATCATCAGAACAAGAACTGCTATAAGGATGGAAATTACGATGGGGTCGCATGTTTGGATTGCTGTTGGGTGTTAGTAAGCCACACATCAATTGGAAGTACCTCATTTCCTGTTCTCTAGATTGCTTCATATCTTCCCTTAAAGTTTTCAAAAGTTCTTTGGTGGGGTCATTCTCAAAAGTACCTTGAAGTAGTTCAACAGTTTTTGTCATCTGCTCAGCTTTAGCTCTTTTAGAGGCAGGTTTCTTTGCCGAGAAACATTTACCCTTGGATGAGACTTCTTTACTGCTATCTATAAGGCTAGATGAAGTGCTTGCACAGTAATCGTCATCACCATCAACTTCTTGGTCATTCTTGTCGGTATCTTGCTTGCCTAAATTTCCAGTATGTGCAGAAGGTTCACATGCATTTTCTCGTTGACATGAATCTCTAGTTTTAACAAGTGCATAAAGAAGGTCAAACCATTCACCATATCCCCGTTCTTCAATAAACCTTTCAATACCTGAAGCTGTTTTCATTGTCATGCAGATCTGCTTACACATGCTAATGCATGTCTTAAATTTATTTTTCATTTGTTGCACTTTGAAAGGAAAATCACTCCCAGCAGTCTTATTGTATTCGATATTCAGCCGTTTCCACACCATCTCATAAGGTTCAGTGTTGCTTGCTTTCTTAGTATTGCAGAATATCAGTTTCTTGACTAGCTGGTCATTATTAACAATGATATTTACCATATCAGTGATGTGATCTTCTTTCCAATTCGCTCTCTGCCCAATTCTTTTTTTCTTCCTTTTCCCACATTCAGAACTCACCATTTCACCTTCCTCGATGGAATCTGACTCTTCTTCTTCGCAAATACATGTTGTAAGATCCCTCTGACCATGGTATTTGTCATCCACTTCCCTCTGACAATCTTTGACAAGTTTTTCTGTACAAGGAGCACACTTGAGACAATACCCAACACGTTTATTTGGTTGCCAGCCAATAGGTTCTTCATTAACTTCAGGACTCGAACATTCCGATCTCGAACACAAACACTTTTACCACACGTTGTACAAGAATACTTCGTTTGTCTCTCACAATTACTGCAAGAAGATGACAAACTCCTTCTCCAAAGCGCCATGGCCATAAACTACAACGTAAACTTGCGTGGGAAGTGCCCAAAGGAGCTTTTACGCATGCGGAGTACTTGAAAAGCTTGCCACGGGTCGCTGCGGGCTCGCATTGAATACATTGAAATACATTAAGAGGATGTATGCATTTCTTTCGACGCGACGCCAGCGCAACGTTAAAACTGAAGATGCATTATCGATATGTTATCCGTCTTACCAAGACGGATAAAACATCTACGATGAATTTAATTTACCAGACGAATTTAATTCGTTTTAGACGTCACGCTATCATCAAATTTAATTGCTTGTGGAACCTTGAATTAAATTCGTCTGAATTAAATTAGACTGTTGCGCGACGTATAAGCTAAGCCTAAGAAATGCCTAATATCTCTTTACATGGATGAAAAGAGAATGCCATTTATGAATTTTAAAATAGTAAATGCAAGAAACTTAAAGATGGAAGTTAAAAAGACTGCCAAAATATGGTATATCTATTCACTGAGATTTAATCCTTGGCTGGCACACACACAGAGAAAAGAGGCTTTGTGAAAAAGACTAGGGCAATAAAATTAAAGATTCAGGAGGAGCATATGATATCAACTAGTTTACTGTTACTCTCACCTGACCTCAGTCTGTAAAGAGAACTCTACAACACTTCTGTTTTATCTTCTCACACTTGAATTAAAAAATTTAATTATTTGCAGGCAGGTTAAGGAGGAAATTAAAGGCATGGGATAGATGTTACATAAAAAGAAACCCCTTACAATAAAAATAAAGCAGAAGCATATTATCTACGTTTCTTTGCTTCTGACGCTAACACTCAAAACCGATGCTAACGCTCGAAACGTCAACTTTTTACCAAACTTACCCCTTTATTCATGTCCATCATAACCCGAGCTGTACTTACGCCTTGAGATGTTAAGAGAAGAGAGACTAGCTCCATGTTTTGTGAGACAATTGAAATTATTCCCTGAAGTTCGCATGAATCGAGTAGAAAGCATGAAAGCCTGAAAACATAGCGCTGAAAAGTATCATGACTAAACAATGAAGGTCACTTATTCAGCAGTAGAACTAATTCCATTTTACCCATGAGTTTGTTCGCACCACACATTTGCGGTCCATAATTTGATTCTCAGATGTTTGACGGGTACTCACATGACAATATTGTCAAAATAAAATTACCGTGTCAGACGTATGTAAACATGGACATCGCTGACTCAATCTCATTTTATTTAAATTTTGGGAAAGACTACCAATTTGTTCTTAGGCTAAAACAACACCCCTTCAACAAAGTGCGAATTTTTAAAATGAACAGAGTAAATCCTGTGATAGTTGACTGAAGAGAGAAAGAGGTAGAAACTTGCGCTTGCCGTTCACTGTCATTTGAAAGCTTTCTAGGCAAAACAAAATCCGTGAGAAAACTTCTTTTCCATTAAAACCACAACTGTATAAAGCCCCTAAGAGAAAAATCTGGGTTAAAAATGATTTTTTTTAGGAGTCCTACCTCCAGGATTGATTTTTCTTCTAAGGCAGTCATTTTTTTGGAAGAAACGAGGAGAATGAGGTGTTTCAAGTGTGCATAGGGCGTTACCAATCCACAGATTTTCGCCGTACTGTATATCATTTTCCGAGTGGCTATAGAATCCATGTTCCCTAGTGCCAACCGATTTTCGAGTCTCCTCAATTAACTGTGATTGCGTAGGAAAATGAAATTCAAGTTTTATTTTCGTTTTTCTTTACGCTGTAAAAAGCCGAAATCAGACTTTCAATTTCGTTTTTCAATTTTCTCCGCTAGGAAGGAAACGGAATTCAAATTCACTTTATGCTCTCCGCTTCTCTGTTTTCTATAGCTCTTTAAAAAAAAACCGATCAACTCTCAGAAAAAACGGATATTAACTTTCTTTTTCGTTTTTCGCTTTTGTGTGGAATTTGGGAAACGCATTACAAGTCGTTTTTCGCTTTCGGTTTGTGGCATTGAAACTGACAATCGATAATTTGGCGGGAATATCAAAGAAAACTTCGTGAAATTGAATATGAAGTTTTTTTGTCCTTGTTTGTTAGACATTTGACAATTTCTGCAGAAAATTGATGATTGATCAAGTTACTATTATTCACAATAAACAGAAAGTTCCTACAAACACAACATCCTGTTATAGTTTATTAAATTCAAACGTTATATGTTGTTAACCCAACTGATCTAAAACTTCCATCAAGAACCTAAAATCAACGTTGAATGAAGAATAGCATCTTTGGGTTGAGGGTGACTACAAAGTATCTCATTCCCAACCCTAATCATAAGAACGCTAAGTCAACATGTTCGATATGTTCAGAAACGAAAATTTTCTAACACAAGTTACTTTCCCAAGATGACATTGTGACGAACTCTTTCAACCGAGCCATTGTTTTTCTCAATACATCTTTGATCACCATATAGCAGCTAAACATTTCAGTTTTGTGACTGCTTCCTTTCTTAATTTAGACAAGAAACTTAATTTATGTGACAATTTTGCAAGAGGAGCTTCTGAAAGTACCACTGAAACGTCAGAATTTTTTAAACCGTTTTGAAATAAACCGCAATGATCACATTTTGTGATAAGACTTGAATTATCTTGCTGAATTTTTTTCTGACACTTAGGGCATTGTTTAAAATGCGAAAGTTCGTTGATGGAATCGATGTTATCAATGTTATCAATGTTCAGTTCCATATATTGATGGTTTTCACCATCAGCTATTAGCAATGCAACGTCATTGAAAGCACATTTTCGTTCCTCGCTTAAATTCTCCGCCTGTGTTATGACAGTTTGGATAGGGTGTAAGGTAGTATTGAGAATTCGTCCGTTTTCTTCGCCGTCGCTCTCCCGTATTCTGAGATGTTTGAATGCGAAAACTTCTCCAACGGATACCATGTCGATGTATCCTTCCCACGGGGTTAATTTCAAAAGGCACGTTTCATCAGCGATATAACAATCAACCCTCTTTAACTTAGACGCTCCAGTACCTTCCACTTGATTTCCTTTGAAGACGACTTTTGCGCAACAGCTAATTTGCTCCATATCTACAGCATTCTCCACGACCACTGTCAGGGAATCAAAGACAGGGTAGTCGATATCTCAATATTGGAAGTTGTACTCCGAACTATTTGGTGAGGACACTTTAGTCATATCATTCACAAAGATGGTTTCACCGTCTTTCCACAAAGAGCTTTCGTTTGGCGCGAGAGAAGCAAATACCACGATAGTTGGCAGATGAACACTGAAGTGTGAGATTAAAGTAATCTAACATATCCGAGCGATTTCGTTTCAATGGTGTCACCTCGTGAACATATGCTATCAGATGACCTGGTGGAGTTCAATTCAAGTCAATTCAAGTCAATTTTTAGACGTTTCTGTGGTGAGCTTCCACAAAGACTACTTGCAGTTTGGAAACCTTCAACTGACATTTGTTTTGGACTAGTCACTAATGCGACAGGAAAGTCATTTCGAGGCTGATTTTTCTTTCTAGTGAATGTAGGAACAGCAGTTTTTTCGACATCGTCCAATTGATCACCTTTCTCCTTTGAATAATTCACGTGCTCTTTCTAGTTATTGCAACTCCTCTGTTTCTTCGCCAACATCGCGTTCTTGCTACACTACCTATCAAACACTTCAACTTGTTTTTCTTTCAATTGGTAAACATGTTGACATTTACTCGTAATGGGATTGGTCCTTTTTCCAAGTAGCCTATTGGGTGATTGTCGTCTTATTTGCTATTGGATAATTTCGATCCATTGAAATATCAAGCTCTTTGCCAGGTTGAAGGAATCTAAGGGGGTTATAATTTCCAATTTTGCTCAAAACTGGTTGCGAAATATTACGGTGTGGTTGTGTTTTAACAGTAAATGAACATTTTGTATCTATAACATGAGACCTCATTGAAAAAGACAGCAAAAACATGTAATTTAAAAAAAATAAGTGCCAAATATTTCGACAATTACCTTTTGTTTGCATTCAATGTGGATATGGTCAAATCTGTTGTAACCAGCCAGCTTCTTCCCTGTCACACTACACTGTAATTCAATATCTCCCCTTGCTATTGGGAAGCAACCAGGTTAATGCAACCTGACTAGATAATTAAAAGACTGAGTTGGATATTTTATGATAATTTATGTGTTGTTCCAAAAATATTCATGCTCCTCCAATAGGAGGTTTTTTTGGTTTGAACTCACCTTCCCCCCCACATATCCTAGGTTAACTTGAAACTTTCCTATGTGGGTTTTGAGAACCCCCTCTGCATTACAATTTACAATGATCTTCCATGGGTAAGGAGCGGGGGAGGGTGTGATAAGGGTATCTTCTGGAAACAAGCAAATAGATGTACAGCTCAAATACTGAGTTAACACAATGTTTGAATGTTTCATTCATTATTCAATAAATATTGATTGTTATGCATGTAATAAAAGACATTCAATTTTTAATTTTTATACCCCTGAAGTTTACCAATGAATGAAAAAATTACATCAAAATATTTGGCTTTGTAAAATCAATGTTACAAAAGAGTATCAGTGATAATTTTTCAAAGGATTATGCAAGTTGAATAAATACATAATTATAGAGTATTTTGTATCTAAACCTTTAATGCTCATTTGCAGAACTCTGTCTTTGTTTATGCATATATATATCTGTCCTAAATGACTAACTGATGAAAAAATGTAGGCTTGTGACTTACAAGATTGTAGATTTTGTGTGATCTTCCACCAGATACTGTACACTGTGCCAAGGTGTACTGTTTTATATTTGATAAAACTCTTCAACACCCTCGGTGATGTGTTGGCCAAAAAAAAAACCTGAAAATTATAGAAAAAAGATATCCATTTTCAAATGACTGAATAATATTTAAAAATTTACCCTTAACATTGCATCGAGAAGGCTGTCTGCCACAAAGGAGCATAATGAAAAAAAAGGACTTACTTCAAGTGGACCTCCATTAAATAGAGGAAGAAAGAAATGTGCTCATTACACAGAAAATAACAGTTCTGAAATGAATTTTGAAGATATTATTGATTTGTACTGACTCATAACTATGATTAGTCAAAATGAATGTCTGAAGGCTATTTTTTCTTTGTTGACATCATTAACACAGTCAAAAAATCTAAGCACTAGTGAGTTTAAATAATTTTTCATTAAACGGCTGGTCAGAGCTAGTGTAGCAATTAGCAAGTATTAGTAAGTTTAAATAATTTTTTATTAAACTGCTGGTTAGACAGCTAGTGTAGCAATTAGCCTTATAGAGAGATATAAGTGTACCTGCAGATTTTACAAGATGTGGTATATTTGTATAAATGTGATCTATCAGAGTATGGTAGTCTGTAGTATACTGGTTAATCAACTGTGTATACCCTCTTTCTTCGATTAAACATTTTGTAAGAGCTTTTTGTTCTGTAGTCTGTTCCATTAGATTCACATTGAAATCACCTAGGAGCACCACAGGAATGCTGCAGTATGTTAATTTTGAGCTATGAAGGTGATTTAGGGCATCAATCAAGTTTGACAATTTTACATACGTTTTAGAGCGGGAGATACCGATCACATGAACATTTGGAATTGGATCACTAAGAACCTACTGCTAATGGCACAAGGGTAGCTTCTGTCCTCAGTCTGCTCATTTCATTTTTAACTTTCTCACTAACCTTGATTTTGTTTTCATTCAAATTAAGAATGTGCTATGCAGAGCTACTTCTTAGTCCGCTCAAACCAACATAATGCATGTGCTCCCCTGCTGACACTGGAAAATCAACGACTGCTTTGTCACCTTGACAACGATGAATTGTCTTGGCAGCAGCAGGTCTAAATGGAAATTGTCGTCGAAGAATGTACACGAGCTTTTTTATTGATTCGAAATTGTCTTGTCACTTCAAAATTGGTGTCCAGTCTTTACTGTTGGTTTTGTACAAATGCATATTTTCTCTCCGCTGCTTTCTGCCTATGTCACAATTTGGGAATGATACCCAAAAAATACTTGGTCTATTTGAGTTTTCAACTCTGTAGTCTATGTTTTGTATAACACATTCTGCACCATTAGTGAACCCATCAGTCACATCAATATTCGTTGTCAGGTCATATTTTGCTGCAGTTGCTACTGGCACTACTGAATATAAACCCATTGTCTTTGTTGGATCATCTGGAATTTTGTTTTTTATATGTTTCCTCAGGTCATCCCATATATCCCCAACTATAATGTCAACAGCCTTGACTTCACCCTTATCATTTTTAGAAAAAGTATACAGGGCGTTGTTGTGAGCATGCACTGGTACATTTGTAGTAAATAAATGTGTTATGTTAAAGGGGTAATTATCTTCTTCAGGTCTTACATTCAGAAATCTTTGTTTTAGAAGAGCTATATCATCTTTAGAGTTCTTTCCCTCTCTCAAATGATTGAGCAGCTCAGAAAATTCTTTGTCATCTTTTTGTCTCATTATTTCTGTTAATTCAAAAATAGTGAAGTATTCTGCCCAAATGTTACCTGCTAAAGCATCATATCCAATTCGAGAATTTTCAAAGATCCACTTATCAAAAACTGGTTTTAACTGGAAAAGATCACCAACAGTTATAAAGCTTATTCCACCAAATGGCTCTTTATTTCCCATTATTTGTTGTAATCTTAAATTCAAAAAGTTGAACATGCCATTTCCTACCAAAGATATTTCATCAATGAATATGACTCTATTGGCAGGTATCTTAAAGGCAGCGTGTAATGTATTCCTTTTTATGTTGAATGCTGCTTTACCAGTAGGGGCTAATTTGACAACTTTCACATCATCTGGATTTTTCCCTGTAACACTATTCAGATATCTGATCAGTGCTTCATACAAAGCATTTGTAACAGTGCTTTCACCAACTGCAGCTCCCCCCGGTTTCACTTCCGTTCTGTTCATCTGTTGGAAATGAGAAAATAATTGCACTTGTAGTTTCTCTACAGATATTCAGTGTAGCGGTCGAAACGTCACGATCCACATCTATGTGACTAAATCGTGAGACAAACGATTAACTCAGCTGTCATATAAAACCACGATGACAACCACCTTTCATGAGTACTTTCAGACAATGGCTATGAACTTTATGTACTAAATTGGCAAACAGTTGCAAAAACGTCATTTCTAAGTCGTAAAAACCTTCACTGAATAAGAAAATTGCTCTAATTGGCGGAGAAAAACGGTGAGAACTATTCACTCCCGATCAATCCCACGACCATACTTTCGAGAGTAGTGCTACAATAATGCCATCAGCCTTTTGCCATAGCAACTGTTGTTAGGACAATCAATGTTGTTTTACTAAAATTCCTGTAACACTGAACAAGACGATTCACTCTCAAAGATAGCCGAGCTTGATGTGGTTAACTCCAACGAGATCTTACTAAAGGTAAAGAAATTCATGCGGGAAACTTGCGGTTGTGCTCTTGGTTTAAAAGGTAGCCCATGTTCCGAATAATTTTCAGAGGAGACTGTTCTTTATAATTTGAATAACTGCCTTGAACTTTCGAGGAGCGAACTTGACCTTGTAATCCTGGCAAATATCCAGGTCTTCGCAAAAACAGAGAAAGTTGGTGACAAGCGAAGCAGGAGTCCTCGATGCAGTTTTATTTACCAAACGAGCCCCATCTGCAAGGAGATGTTCTTACACTTATACGAAATTGGTTATTCAAGATTTCGAAGATTAAAAGAACATTATCAAGAGCATGGAATTTTTCCAAGAATTCACGGAACACCAAACGAGTGCCAGGGAATGCAATGTCCGAAAAATCTCTTGAGACAGCAAGAGCAAGCTGCTAACCTCTCATATGAAGCAAAATCAGAGTATGTAAAGGCTCACCAGGAACACTTGAGCACTGCACAAACAGAAAGAGAATACTACAGAAATTCATGTAACGACTGCAAATCATTTCTTCAAACACTTGATACTGACACTTTACTAAACTGTGAAACCCGAGGGCCTCGTTCTTTAAATGTAACTATACATTACTCATTTGACTTCGCACGACAAATACATTTTCCAAGTAATCCTATGCGACCCGGACCGATTTATTTTAAAACTCCGAGAAAATGTGGAATTTTTGGCGTTATGTGTGAAGGGATTCCTCGCTAAGTTAACTTTCCAATTGACGAAGCAGTTTTTATGGGAAAAGGAGCAAACGCAACCGTCAGCTATGTGGATTATTATTTTAAACACTATGGATTGGGAGAACAGCATGCACGTCTTCATGCTGACAACTGCGCCGGCCAAAACAAAAACAATTATTTTCTCTGGTACCTGGCTTACAGAGCTCATTTCTTATAGCGGAACACTAAGTTTGGCCCTGATCGGTGCTTTGCCTTGTTTAAGGAAGCTTACAAAGTAACTCATGTCTCGTCATTGTACGAGTTCGCCAGATTGGTCGATACCTCCAGTAACAGTGGCCAAAACAAGGCACAGCTCGTTGGAACGCACAATGGCAGAATCGTCGCACCTGTTTATGACTGAGCTTCATTCCTTGGCCGGTACTTCATGAAATTACCGAACATTAAGAAGTACCATCATTTCCGGTTCTCGGAGCAAACCCCTGGAATGGTTTATTATAAAGAATTTTCGACCAGCCCTGAACATTCTTTCATGTGGGTGAAAGATCAATCCGTTCTCCCTCCCTCTACCACTACTTCTCCAGTGATTAACCCAGATGTACTAAGTGAAGAACAAAAACTTTATCTCTACCGTGAGATTAGACAATTTTGCAAGCCAGGAACGGAAGATATCGTTGCTCCTTCCTCTTAGCTGTCGCTTATCTGCTGGATAGTGATTTAGGTTGAATGCCATTTGTCTTTTCACTGAAATTACATTATCGGTAGGCATGTTAAAGAATCCTTTACATAAATGACAATGATCATTAAGTGCTAGCAGGTGCTTAAAAGTCGCACCATTTCACTACACAAGTGTCTCAAGGTGTGTGGAAAATTAGACTGTAGATAACAAACCTTCGCTAACTAAGGGTCAGCTCTTTTGGTGCACGAGAATAAAATCAAAGCGTAACAAATGAGACCGGGTATACATTCCTTTACTAAACGCAATTTTTACCGCTTCACAAATGTTTAAAGCGTTATTCTCAAAATGCCCTTGAAAAAAAAAACCACACCTTTTGACTTTTCGATAGACTTTGATTGCGAAACTGAAATTAGCAAAAGGGGAAGATTTTGTCACAAGTCAAATTCATCACTCTAATGGGAGACTCTAACATAAAACGTTTTCATATGCAAAATGAATAATAACCCATATCCATCCTCCTATGAAAACGCGAGGATTTCGAAAAAAAAGAGCTCAGCACCGCTAATTCTGTTGACACTGCGATCTTGTTTATTGCAATAACTGGAAAATCGAATCATGGCACTTACCTTACGTCAAATTTGTAAACAAACAAACAAACGACTTTCCAGAGCATTATTTTTCTTCCCCGAGGAAAGGGTGACTGGTATTACGCTTACCCGATGAATTGTCGGGTCAAACAAGAATGCCTTATGCGAAAGCAGTAACGTAACTGTTAACTGGCAGGGAAAAAAGGTGCACGCCGAAATTCTGGCATATAGTGGAAAGTTCAACTTCTACGTTTTCTGTGTTGTTCTGTCGAGAACTGAATACTTTTTACCAGTTATATTGCACGTTCGTGAACAATGCCTTGGTTTATTTGCAGATGACGAAGACTTCCTCACTATCAAAGATATAGAATGGTGTAAGAGAAGTCTGCCGGATGCCTTGGAGTCTTCCACTGACATTGAAGGCGATTGCGTAGAAGAGACACCCAGAGAAAAGGCAAATCAAAACCCGGTGCCTTTTCGAAGCACGCACTTATTGCTGTCTTTGTTACTGTTTCTACATATAAAAAGAAGGCCGAATCATCTAACATCGCGCTGGATCCGTATATATCCTTCCTGGCAGAACAGCAGCAGAGGGAAATGAGGTGGGCCACTGATCGAGAAGCAGAGAGGACAAAAGAGAAAATGAATGGTCAAGCGGTCGAAATCTGTTCGTTAACTGCTCGCTAAAAACAAGGAGTGAGATGTCTTGAAGAATGATTTGGAGGCTGTCCGCAAGACCAATGCAATGGCAATGGAAAACCGAAACGAAGATCTTGCAAAGGTGAGTGTAATAGTTTCTCTTTGTAGCAATACAATAAATGACGCTCCCCTTCAAAATAACATTACCCTTACTTACTTAGCCCCGCTCTTAGTATCTCCAGAGTATTTCACTAAAGCCCGAGCGTGGCTTAAAAACGTGATGAAACTGATTTCTTGCTCCCGTTGGCGAAATAAATAAAATAAATTATTAGTACTTCTGTATATCTCACCTACAGGTAATGGAGAGGATAGAAGATGCTATTGGTGCACTGGATGATAAAATGAGCATTACGATGTCAAGAATAGAGCGGCGTCTAGAAACTTTAGAAAGTATGGTAGGTTTTGTAGTAAAAGTTATTTGCTGTACATGTCACGAAGGTGATTGGTTTGACTTTCTTCAGTCATTACGAAGGATGATTTACTGAGAAGAATTTACAACGCAAGTTAACAAGAGTTTTAAAATACTAATTTTAAAATAATATCAGATTTTTTATCAAAATAACTACACGTACATTATCGCGCGGAGCTGCTACAGTGCTAAAAAAATAATAATTATAACTGACTGAATTAATGTAAACCCCGTGCCCACGAATTTTGTAATTTGAATTTTAATAATTCGCCTTTTTATGACTACTTAACTGATGTGTGAAATAGCAAATGATCCCCCAAGAAAAATTAGACCAACAAGCAGTGCGACGGATCAGTATCAGCTGCCAGATGACCGTCCTAACGATCTCTCAACGATTGATATACATGCCTTCGCGAACCTCACTGATGAGGTTGCCACTCCTTTATCTTGCCCAGCTACACCAGCTCCGACACCAGCTGATTCAGTAACACCAGCCACTCCGTTAGCAATGAACATTAGTGAAGTGGCTGTAGGCGAAGAAATCATCCGCACCTGCTTGACCCCAAGCAAAGTGAAGGAAGTAGAGGCAATGTTGAAAATGGAAAAGCAAAGGCACCTTTGCGCTCTCAAACTTCTGCAGTTCTTCTTCACAAAACAAGAGCTTAGTACTAGTAACACAGACGAAACCCATGGAAAACAGTGCTTGGATAGGAACAAACTGAACAGTTTAAAAGCACTAGTATTTGCAAAGTTTCCCGTGGAGCCGTCAGAAAAAAAGGAGAAGATTTGGCGGGCCATTAAAGGCAAAATTAATACCAAGTCGGGTTAGCAAGTTATTGAGAGTCCGGGCAAATTAACTTCATTACCATTTTTTTTTACTGCGAGGTCAATGTCACGCAACATCAATTCACATCACCACTTGAATGAAAATCATAAACAGAGAGCTGAAAAACTTACTTCTCCATAGGATTCATGTACTTGCTAACTTACATTACTGATGTGCTACATTTACGTAAAAAAATTGGTTAAGTAGTTTCTACGAAGAAAAAAATAAACTTTGTTTAACAAAACAACTTCAAACATGTTTAAGCTTTGGTTTTACTTTCCTCGTTCGTATGGAGTTCATATCTCAGTAGTTTGGGTTAATCGAAATCAAGCTCAAAGCGCCCCACGGTTTTTGATCTATCAGAAAAGCAATAATTTTTCTTTATAACATTATTTCGATGATAAATTGAATTAGTCTCCATTTTCGATCGTGAGAATAAAGGCCTTGAAATTGACAACAACGACAGATGAAATGAAAACAATACATAGCAACATTGCCCGTTCCATGATCAAGCCATGCGCTCGGAATGGTTTCGAAAACCGTTTAAGCAATTTATTTAACCATAAGATTGGTAAACCAATCGCACAAACAATCGTGCGGATTGATAATATTTTCATTCGTTCGAACGGCTTGCCAGTCCGTTCGACATTATCCGTTTACTCATCCGTTCGAACGGCTAAGCAAACCGTTCGAACGGCTAATCAAACTGTTCGAACGGCTAATCAAACTGTTCAAATAATTTATTCACCCGTTCGAACGGTTTGCCTGTCCGTTCGAAATTTTTACTCATCCGTTCGAACGGCTGACCAAACCGTTCAAATAATTTATTCACCCGTTCGAACGGTTAGGCAAACCTAGGGTCTACTTGTGTGCAAAAATTGAGACAATTTGAATTTTTGACCCTTGCCATAAAAGTTTCATTTTTGTTTGATTTTTGATGTCCTCTTAAGAGTCCTTAACTACAGATTCTTCCATGATAATCTCCTTGACTACTTTAACATTACCATGAGTCACTGATCCCTGATCTTCCTCCTCAGATTCACGTATGGTGATGTGGCCCTCATTGCGGATTGAATTTGCAATCACTCTGATATGGTTCATCTTGTCCTTGCCTCATAAAAGGCTAAGATTGAAGATCTTTTCCATCGTTCGTAATTGACCATCTTCACTTTTTTTATGGATGGTTTTCCTAGAGCCACCATTACAATTAATTCTGCTGTGGTCTGAGTCGTTTCTAGGATAAAAATAAACAAAATGTTAAAAGAAAAGCTATATTCACATAGTAAATACTCAAACCAGGCCACTTGACCATTCAAATATTAATTGAGA